GTTGGTTGAGCGTGTGGCTCAGAAGCTGAGAACCCTCTAGTCATTGGTTTAAGGCTACCCTTACCTGTTTTGCTTAATTACTGATTATAGACTATGAGAAAAACGATACAGCCTTGGTGCAGTTTTGTACCCCAAGGTACAAACATGAATGCACCGCCAGTGGTACAAACATGTTCCTCAGAGTCAATTTCTGTACCTTAAAATGTACATTTACCTATACCTAAGGTACAATTTGCAGACCCTTGAGGGTACAGCCCCAGTGACAAGTAATTGTACCCTCAATGGTACAAATTGGTACATTTTTTCTGACAGTGTAGGGCAGATGCAAAATGTTAAGTATGGTACTGTAATATACACACTCTACAGCAAATCACAACATTTCATAAAAAGATCGCACTTAAATTTCACAAAAAAAATAAGGCGCGTTATTGTACTGCGGTATTAAAATATTACACAGTAACTTTCTTTTTATGTAACGAAATAGCACAGTACAGGTATTGTATCTGTATCATTTCTGTTCATTGTAGCTGTCCATCATATGTACAGTACTGAATGCATACTGCATTACAGGGTATATATGGACAGGGGGCCGTCACAGTATATGGCAGCGCTGCCCAGTGTTCCGCAATGTTACACTAAGCGATACAGCCGCCAACGTCCGACTGCGTCCGCTTTCAGGCGTGTCTCGATCATTGTGTTATTTAAAGTGGACCTCGGACGTACATATGTGGCCAAAATTGTGGAAACTCTTCCAACTTTTACAGATTGCAGAACTTTATTCAATTGTTGCTCCAGTTACTTATTTAATCACGCAATCTATGATATTAGTAAACATTCCTTGATTGTTAGTAAACATCACCGCCAATATTTGTGTAGTGATTTTTAAAGCGCAATGACAAAAAAGCTAGGTGTTTCCACAATTTTGGCCGCTAGCGTAAATGCAATTGAACGTCACTAAATATGACGTAAGTTGAGGGATACCGCGATGTGGTCAGTGAGGGCATTTCCCTTACAGCAAATATGAGGTTTCAGAGGTTCTTGGCTAATTTACAGGGTTATGATAAGCGGCGAGACTTCAATAAATAAATATATAAAACCCTGCTAAATATCTGGGGTAGATTTTATTTGGTGAACGCCCAGACCTTCGGTGCTCTTCACAGCTCAAGGTTATAGTGACGTCTACCCTTAAACTTGATTATTCTCTCACTGATTCTGAAAGAGTCCCAGCAGGAAACGTCTAACACTTCATTCACAGAAAGAGCTATTAGGCAGCCATGAAACATTAATTGCTGACTAATGGGAATTTAATTGTCTCTGGAAAACTTCTGGGAAAAAAAAATGAACGTAATCACTTATCTAAGAATTAACTTCTGTGTAATTAAATGCAATAAATGTCGAGTTTATTGATAATCGAGTTTAATGTAAAAAAAAATCCAAGGAATACAAAAAAGAACCAAACGATGTTCAAGCTCTACTTATACTTCACTCCTCCTTGTGTGACGGCCACGCTAGAGTTGCACAAGCATAAAGCTTATAACATTACCTGTGGATGCGCCAGCTCTTGATATACACAAATCAGACGTGACATTGTTATATTACAGACTCTGCAGTCTGCTTCTGGATCTCTATTCAAACGCAAACTTTAATATGATAAATTCCATGCTGGGAAGCAAGTGTTACTCTCTCTAGTGATTGGTTCTTGGAAGCTCTATATAACAGTAAGAAAGCCAATGACAAAGCAGGAGTTATAAATACATATTCAACTTCTACTAAGGTTATGCGGATAGATGACGTCTTTGACACATGTGAATGACATAAGGGAATTTGTGTTCAAACTGGGAGGGATTACCCTTAATTCCTAAATATTTTCTTGCCCAGTAACTACCACATTGGGGAAGTTAAGAATGCTTGTGCAAATCTAAAGAGGTCACTTGACAGTAATTTAAGTTTATTTTTAACTACAGCGCGTGAGGGATTTTAATTAGAACACGCAGCTCCCCGTCAAATGAAACAGCAGCGATTTCCTTCCTCGCGTTGAAACCGATGCAGCTGAGAGATTTGTTTTTTAGTCTAATATTCTGCATTCCCAGAACAGCTGGCAGATGATAATAAACGTTTAAACAGCAGGATGTTATGTCCACGCACCCTGATTAAATGCACTTAAAGAGCACTTTAACACTGGAGCACTTTGTCACTGGAAATTAATTTATGGATGCGGCACTTTTACGAAACCAGCATGTGATAATACTGCTAGAAGTAGCGGACGGTTTATCTATTATCATATATAAATGCAAAAATAATTTTTAGAATGTAATATCTTAGGTACTGAAATACATTTAATAACACAATTTGGTGATAAGCTTAAAAAAGTCTTCAAATACAGACATATTTGCCGCTATGTGGCTCTATGCTTTCGCCCGTCAGACGAAAAGACGAAAGCATGAAACAGAATTGTTGATTATTTTGAGGGACAAAGGCGATAGCCTTTTAGCCCCTATTGTGTTGGCTGAAGACATTTCACTGCTTCTGTCCACTATTATCTAGGTAGAAAAAGACCAGACAGATCCTTCGCTCTATGGAAGAGCCCTAAATCACTACTCATAGAGGTTAGGGAGTGAAAATGATCAGATGCTTGCAGGATTAAATCCCAAAAATTCTGCTGCATGTAGTTTTTGTGTCGGTTAAGTTAGTTTAATATTCTACGAAATTCAGTGCTCGTGGATTTAGTATGTTTGCAGGTGTATCTCAGTCAATGGCGGTATAACTGTACACTGGGCCCTGGGGGAAAAATAGAAAATGCCTCCCCTATCGAATATCATACCCATCATGCACTGTAGTAGTTACCAAATTCAACAAGCATGCTTTATTTTCATTAAATGCATGCCAGGACAGCATATTTTGTCAACAAAACATTACAAACTATTACATTTCAAAATTACTTTAAGTATTGTACCAAATATTTTTTGCTTTTTGAATCCCACCATAATGAGATTGTATACATGAAAAACATGAATGATATAAAAGGAGTATGTCACACATCATGTAGCATGTATGACTTCAGTGCCCTAATGCTCACGAATGCCGTACATAAATGTGCAATCTGCAATCAGTAGTCAAAAGCCCTCTATATCAGTTGGATAGCACAGGCCTTGCCTACAAGTTGGCATCTAAAGTATTCTTAATTATATATCTTACACAGAAACATCCAGGAGTTGCTCATTTGTGATTCTTTTTTGTTGTTGTTATCATTCTGTTCTTGCTTCTTGTCAACATCGCTGACTTTGATCACCCGGAAGTCACATGACCTGCAGAGCCGGAGTGAGGTGAATGGACCCTAATCGCACCAGGAACGAAAGATGTGAGCGCAAAATCGACACGATCGACTCAACGTCCCTGCCTCTCCACAGAGCTGCCTGCTTCTCATCCACCGGTCAGAAGCATTGTTGCTTAAAGTCAGCGTTCCTTTGACCGGCCCTGAGGCCTCCGAGTGGCTCCTGGGTAGTTTACGATGTAATAGGGCATGTATTGGGATGTAAGCCAAGCTGGTGTTGTGCCATCGTCCAATAGGTGGCACCCTATACTTTTTGAGTGACCTAAAGCACTTATAATGTATATAGAACATATAGAATGAATACTGAATGTATACATCCTGGACACTCTATACTCTATTCATTAAATACTAACTGCCTTCAGAATTTGACAGCTAGGCCAGCTTCAACAAACAAGCTCTAACGAAACAAGTTTGAACAATTTCCAGCTTCAGTAATGTGTGGAATACGTCGTTACCTGGAAGCGAAGCTTTGCTGCCTATATGACCCCATTGCTTCAGTGATGCTGGGGGCATTGCTGCCCTTAGGAGGGATGCTCTCCAAGGTGCTGAGATGAGCTGGCTCACCATTCTATTTTGGTCCAGATGCAATAAATCACACTAAAGGTTTTTAGTCTCTCACACTGCCCCTTTAGCTCTCTGGCATTTAATAAAATGTGGAATGATTTAACAGACAAAAATGATTTTGAAAACTATTATCATTTATATGGTTTACATGCCCTATTTCCGACAGGTTCCAAGATGACCAGGATCAAGAGCTTCACTTGACTGATGTCACCTCTGGCATTCCTGGCCACTCTATTCGTCTGGTAGCAAGTGCAGGCAACTCTCTCTCTCTCTATATATATATATATCCAATATATATATATCCAATGTATCCAGTGGAAACACTTCAAGTATTCAAAGGCCCAGGTTTCTATAGAAACCGGTGGGGAGGAGCAGGAGGGAATAAAGAACTGATGATATTCACTGTAAATATATTCAGCAGAGTACGGTCAGATGTTCAAACTTTTCAAATTGAAAAAAAAAAATGAGTTTGGTGCACAGTATGATCTTGTTTGTGTAATTTAGGTTGGTTGATAATACTTTCTAATCCAAACAAAAACAAAAAAAAAACTTTAAATACGGATCAGTTTGTTCCCCTAATCTAAAACACGCTGATCTGGATGTCAGGTACTGCAGACCCAGTTGATGTGCACTCAGGGATGGAGGTTGTAAGAACAGAGCGTCCCATACCTCGATGCCCCGGGTTTATCTAAGAACACGGGGATTCACACTAAGTCAGCCAGTGTAACATAGCCCGAGGCGCCAAGATGCACAGCACTATCGGAACCGTGTCTAGAGAGGGTAGTGGCAATGTGCAAGTTTTCAGATGTTGACAGGAACTTTTATTAGGTCATCTGCTAGAGGTTGCGTTGATATGTGTAGAGCCCAGGGTGCCACTCTCTCATAGTCCAAGGTGAAGAGACTTCAACTGTGTAGAATGTTCTACTAGGTTCTAGAGGATCCCAGAACAGTAACAGGAGGTTACTCACTCTGAGGCAATAAAACAGCACTCACTCACTCTGAGGTTCACTCCGAGGCAATAAAAGAGCACTCACTCACTCCGAGGCTCACTCCAAGTCAATCAAAGGACACTGGCTCACTCTGAGACAGTAAAAGAACACCAATAGACAATTAGTTACAATATCTCTTTTTCAAAATTGACAAGACAAGCAGGAACTATATTTAACTTGAACAAACGAACAGAGGTTTTTAAGTCTTTACAAAAGAGACATATGTTCAGTTTTTGCATTGACAGCTACAATAAATTAGTATCGGCGGCTGACAAACAATTTTGTATAAAATACAAGATAGCAACTCTGCCAGGAACGGGAAAAGCTCATAAAAGATGTTTTGAGGAGAGGTTTAGAAGCCCTAAGGGTAGCACTGTAATGTCATGGACAGTAGAAATTTGAAAAATGCTTTGAAAAGATGACACTTTACATACATATATGGCACCCCAATAGATCCAATACAAACTGATATAGACTGTTACTCTTCAAATGGGATTGTTACTCTTCAAATTGGAATGTTACTCTTCAAATTGGATTGTTACTCTTCAAATTGGATTGTTACTCTTCAAATTGGAATGTTACTTCTATAGGAATGAGTTGAGGTTTATTGCATGACAACGGCTATTTGCGCCAAGAACCACAAAGGTAAATAAAAAAAGATGTACATAGAATTTATTCAAGCGGAACAATGAACATTCATTTAAATTCGGCATACAATAATTATATGGATGTATAATACATTTATCAAACAGTAATTGATATGTTTGTAACAAATCAGATCTTAATATTCTTTCATGAAAACAAGCTGTAACGGGAATGATTAAATATGAGATATTATCATATACTTTGGAAGGCTAGAAAAATAAAAGAAAATCTGAGTAACCATGCCTAATATGCGTACGGAAATCTAATGTGTATGTACGGTCAGTACATTTCCCGAAGCAGGTTCATCTCTTGATGAGTAGAAATAAAATCAACATTCAGAAGTTGGAATGAATTCAGTGCAGCTTACATGAAGCACATAATGATTAGTCAGCAGTGAAGGATAGTCTACAGTCATGCTGGTCCCAAACCTAAATAGCACATTAAAGACTGTAGCAGAAATCACTCCATTTCCAAAATAGCATGGTCCCACCATCCTGATAGAAGAGGTGAATGAATGAATCAAAAGTGTGCATAGTCACAACAAGCCAATTAAATCTGATAAACCTGACTTCACCCCAAAATGACTTAAAATCTGAGGCCTTCTAGAAGTTGCCATCATTAGTGAAGATAGTTTATGCAAAATAAGATTGCATTTATAAACTGCCGTTCACATTCGTCTGCATGTAGCCTAAGCAGTTACGTAGTAATACAGACCATGTTTGGGAGAACTATTGATATATCAGTGTACAGACGCTCCCCAGGTTACGATGGTCCGTGTTACGATATTTCGACTTTACGATGGGTAAATGTTTTTCAGTTTCAGTACATTTTTCTATAATTTACATGAGATATTAAACACTTTATTATATTTAAAAAAATGTGTTCATTTTGCCCAACTGTAGGTTGCCTAATGTAGGTGTTCTAAGTATGTTTAAGGTAGGTTAGGCTATGATGCTCGATAGGTTAGGTGTACTACATCGCCTTACAATATTCTTACCGTACGATAGATTTATCGGTACGTAACCCCATCGTAACCTGGGGAGAGTCTGTATTTATTAACCTGGATTAGGGGAGGATTTTCACACAGGCTGTTAGTCTGACTGTCATCCTTTCATTTCCACGTGTGTGTGTCAAACTTCACTATGGCTGTACACGTGTGTTTGGGTTCCTCATTGCGAACACTGGGAGACATTTTTGGACGAACAAAAAGCATCGCTGTCGGGAGCAGAGTTACGCATTGGCTACCCAAGGCTGTAGCCTAGAACCCCGGGCAAACATCAGGGCCCCACACTGAAACAGTTTGGCAAAATTGCCAACACCTGAGTGTCCATGCTGGTGTCAATCTTAGGCCTCCAGATAAGTGAATCCGCCCCTGATGAAGAGTCTGGCAAAAGGCCACGTCGCCACAGCCCCCGCTGGTCAGTCAGTAAACTCTTTGCAGTAATTAAAAACAAAATAAAAAAAAAACAGACGGAGGAAAGTACGGTTTGCGCTGCAGCAGCAACACTAATAGAGCTGGTCTCTACACACCCCCCTTACAGTGATGGTTTTGCCTCCTTCTCTGCCAGGCCATAGACAGTTGAACCAGCATGGCTGACCTCATTTTGCAGGTTGGGGGGGGGGGTCTCACGCAGACTCCCTGTGATGAGAGAAAGGGAAAAAGAGTTACAGTTAAGAGAACATTTGCACGAGACGGGGGCAGCACCAGGAACTGGCTTGGGTGGGGGCTGTAGCGACCCCTGTCAGAATCAGAACACACTTCTGATACACCCGCCGGTACTAGAAATTTCTTTTGCCAGTACTGGTGCATGCATTCACGGTCCGAGCCCTGCTGGTTTCCAGCCTGCCTTTACCTGTGAGCCAGTTGTGAAGCCTCTGGCCAATCAGAATCAGTAATTATTAAACTAACTACCCGGGAGAACCAAAAACAAGGCCTGGATTTGGAATCGAAATCTGGATTTGAAAAGCCCTGATACAGAACATAAATTAAGAAAAATAGTGTAAGTAGAAATTAGATGATTTAATATAATAGTGCAAAACAGTGCAAAACTGAAGACTTACTATCATTAATTAAATATGAACTTATGAAAATATATATTACCCAGAAGATCACACAGATGAAACAGATGTGGAAAATGCATGCAGAGGATAACACTAGCCTAAAAGGGTTATACTTTTGGCGTCATTTCAAAGCATTTTTCAAATTCCTACTGTCCTTTAAGCTACAGTGCTACCCTAAGATAGCCATAGCACCCCAAAGAATTTTTTTTATTATTATTATTTTTAATGCATGAATACTGTAATTTATTCTTTGAAAAAGAAATACGTAAATAAAATGTGTGAACATGTGTCGGAGGTGATGCACGGAATCAGAGGTAGTGCGACAAGTATGCGACTCGAGGCTAACAGATTAAGCTACCAAGGCAGCGGATGCAGAGGGCGGGAGCTGCGTACATCATTTACGGACAGGCCTGCGGCAAATGCTGACGGTGTGCGAATCTGACTTCCTCCGAGTCTCTGCGCACGAGTTCGTGCAGGAGGTCCCGTCTACGAGTCATCGTAAATGTCGCAACAAAACCAGGAATTACAGATCCATTCTCTAACACTTCTGCGGCAACGCGGGAAGCGAAGGAGCTTGAGTCGAGCTTGCTAATGAGCGGGATGACTGCCGTAACGACAGGCCGGCACCCTAGCCGGTGTTGCCGTTTGATTAGCGAAACGTGGAGAATCGACGCTGAGGGATGTATACAGGTACAGAAGGTCAGATGTGAATTATTTTGGTGCCAAAGTGTCAAACTAACAAAGCAATAGCAAATCAGGCCACAGTCATAGTGCTTTTATACTTGACGGACCGCAAACGAACAATCTTGGGACTTCTTGGGAAGTGCTAGGCTAGAGAACTCAGTGTGACATTTACTGGTTTTGATTTATGAGAACGAGAGAAGCAGCTCCTTGCGCAGTTCAGTAAGCAATAATGAGTAAGTTTAACACCTGCTGGGAGACAAATAAGCCCAGGGCTTCAACGAACACCAGAAAATGTGTTTCATAATCCACTTAAACAAAATCATTCATTAGAAGAGTTACCGCTGGTCACATGATAAATTATGATGAAAACTTTGTACCTTTTCTTGTCACTGGGGCTGTACCCTCAAGGGTCTGCCAGTTGTACCCGTAGCTGTAGGTAACTGTACCTTTTAAAGTACAGAAATGGACTCTGAGGAACATTTCTGTACCATTGATGGTACATTAATGCTGTTTGTACCTTAGGGATGTTCCTCAGAGTCAATTTCTGTACCTTAAAAGGTACAATTACAAGAGTACAGCCCCAGTGACAAGCAAAGGTACACATTTGTCCGTAATTATCACGGAAACGGTAATGCCAGTGACATACAGGTGAAGGTAGCACGCTTTCCCAAACTTTACATTCCAGACATTTTCCCTGCCTACTGTGGCTTTTCTGATCACGCCTCCTACGCGCCGCAGGGCAAACTTTATTGCTGCCAGCATTAGTTGACAATAATAGTTGACAAAAGTTGACGCTGTAATTTCATCATGTAACGTGACTTGACTTTAGATGCTAGAAGTGGCATCCCACTCGCCACGCTGTGAGAATTAAACAAACGGATCTTGCCGCTTCCTGTAGCTGAACACGACATACGACTGACTGGATCTGTATGTGCTCAAAATTAAAAATGAAAGATTTATTGTTCGTGCGATGGGCTGGCCCCCTGTCCAGGGTTGTTCCCTGCCTCGTGCCCAAGGCTCCGGAACCCCCAGCCACCCAGTAGGAAAAGCGGGTTGGAAAATGGATGGATGGATGGATTTATTGTTCATTTATTTAATGAAGTAAAATACATTTCCATAAACGCACCTCTTCTTTTCAGGATTCCATCTATAGTTTCGTTTCCGCCTGCCTCAGTGCCCTCATTTTCGTGATAAAATTAAGTTAGTCGGTGAGGCAGTAACATAAAAATGCATTTAAATATTTTCAAAGCGAAATATTCTGCCTTAAAAATTGAGCAGAATTAATAATATATCATACAGAAATGAGTCCCAAGAATTAGGCTGAGAAGTGAAAGACAATATTTGAAAGCCCGACCCAAATAAGGCTCAAAATCTATAGAAGACAGTTGAGTATATATAAACCTCTGATTACGCTGTAGCTTAATGAGACCAAACAGACACAAATCTTCACCAATTATCACAATCAGCTGGCATATAATATAAAATTTCACAAATCATTTCCTACCAAATATTTACATTTAGCAAAACTATCAATAACCACATATCAGCTAATCACAACAAACAGAACCAAAGAGAAATAATCAGCTTTCAAGTAAACCTAGTAGTATGGGGATATCTTTGCTGGTAATTAGCTAGTTAGCATTATCGTACACAGAAAAACAAACTAACTACTCAAGGCTTCCGCTGCTATTTAACAGACGTGGTAAAGTGCCTGGTTCCAAATTTACCCCAGAGAGGCAAGCAAGCATTGACTTAACTGTAAACATGAAGCGGAAATAAATGCAGGGTCTCTGACTTCAGTCAGCTGGCTGGGGCCTGATTTTCATTTCCAGACAAGTCTGCACACACATGCACATGCATTTGCATGCATGTAACAGTTTCATTACCTTGTAAATAGTCTGGGTCTGATGTAGTTAATTTTAGGTTTATAATGTAACACTATAGATTTGCCGGATGTATGAGAGTTAGCATCCCTGTAAATGAGTGACGTAAAGTGCATCAGGTGTTATTAAAACAACCCAAGACAGAATGTTGGACGTCAGAAGTGTTTTCTTTGTGCTGTTGGGATTAGATTAACGGCAGGGGCACACGGTGGGCTAACTGATCATGGTTGAGGTAACGTTTAAAGGCCGAAATCCAATCAAACAATATTTAAATCCATATGCTTTCATAAAGGAGATTAACACAGAAATCACATCGGGCTTAAAGACACCGTTAGCTTCTGTTACTTAGAACATCAAAATGGTTAAAATGAGCATCTTAGAGTGAATGATATGTTGTTTTTTGTTTTTTTTACAAATAAATATAAAAAAATGCATCCTGCGTGCTATCGGGGCAGATTCTCATGGATCCTGGAACCCAGACAGGACAGGCCACAAAGCAAGGGAACGCTCTGGATGATGTGCACCACATCAGCAAAATATATATTTTTCCTAGTTTGAATATTATCGGATTTATTAAACTTTCATTTAATTCCTGAACATGACGTTTTAAGGAAAAAGGACTCTGGTGATTCCACTCCAGGAGAAACTCTGTCCTCCTAACAGCATGGATTCTATTCCAGGAAGAAACTGCATCCTCCGTAACTCCGATACTATAATTTAACCGACAAGACACTGGTAGAACGGGTATGCCTGCCTTCAAAGAGGTTTAAACGTAATTCTGAATATCGCTGGCTGGCTCTCGCAAGCACATTACATTCCAAGCACATCAAGGCCACATTGAAGGCGGATAAATCTGTACCTCAGAGTTCAAAAACTGCAAAGCCAACTTTTTATAAATAAGATTTAAATAATCATGTAAACGCTAAAGGAACTGCTAACAGTTTAACAGGGAGAGATACACTAGACAATACGTACCTAAGGCATAAGATTAATCTCCCAAACACTTAACTAATTAATTGCCTACTAATTATGCATAATATATGTAATAGTTAGTTGATCACTATCTTTAGAAAAGAAATTAAAATTCTCTCACGAATATATCATACAGCATAATATACAGAAAATATGAAAATAAGTACTTTTAAGTTATAAGGTTAAAGGCTGGTTTACAAAAAAATAAAAAATTTAAAGATAAGTTAACTGCTTATTGAGCTATTTCATACATCTTACTATTTGATTAATGTATATTTAATAAAGACAGTTATTTATCTTCCAATGCTTCTTCTCAAAGTGACTTACAAATCAGTCAACACAGGAAAGATATCAAACACCTTTCAACGAGTGTGTGTATTTGTGTGAAACCAGGTGATAAAGCAGACAGTTATACCCGAACACTAATTAATAATATTATATAACGAAACACTTTTGTGACACATGCAGTCAGAAGATTTACAGAATGGGTTGCACAATCAGTGCAAAAGGGACTATTTTGGTCTGACTGAAACTTGCATTAAAATAAGATTTTTGCTTTTCAGTTGTCTGGTTTGTTATTATTGGACATTATTAATAAAGTGCTTCTGTCACTCCCACTACAGTCACATGCATTTTCCCAGAAATATCCACAGCAGATGCGCTTAAGTAACAGAATACAACAGTTTTAAATAATGACAGTAATGAATATATGATGCTGTCATAGGTCTTGGACACACATCTGCCCCGACCTGAGGACCTCAAAACATCATACTGAATGTTAGGGAATTAAAATCAATGACATGGGAGCCAGAGATGGAGATGCACCAAGAATAACAACCATAATTAATAATATTAAATAACGAAACACTTTGCGAGACGCGGAGCCAGAAGATTTACGTAATGGCTTTCAGAAAGGGACTGACTGCAACTTGCATTATAATATACTTTGTTTTTAGTTGTCTGGTATGTTATAAATGGACTTTGGACATTATTAATAAAGTGTTATTCTCACTGACTAAAGTCACAGGCATTTTCCCATAATACTCTGCATGGCAGATGCGCTTAAGGCGGAGGTTAACCAATCAGCATCCAGGCTAGAAATAACGGGCACGTTTGCCGCGAGTAAAGTATCGATCGAGCTACGCGGAAAACCGGTACCTTGAGGGTTCCATGGTGTCCTTGGTGAGATAGACGATCCAGTAGACCAGGTTGAAAGCTCCGAAGGACAAGGGGAAGAGGATGCGTGCGTACTTGTCGATTATACTGGTGCCCGGCAGCCCGTTGCTAGGCGGGGCGGGGGGTCGCTGCTGCACGAACACGGGCGCGGGGGTGGGCTTGGGCTGCTCCGCAGGTGGAGGGGCCTCGCCGCGGGCCACCGAGTTCATCCTCTTCTTCAGGCTGCCGCCGCCGTCCGTCGCGGCCTGGTGGAGAACGGAGAGCGTCGGCGTGAGGCTTTTGATCCGCCGTACCGTCGCCTCAACGCGGGGCTACCGGAACGCATCGCTTCCTTCTTAATCGGCTGCCGTTTCAATGAAAATTAAACGCCAGAGCGCCAGAGAGGCAGCCCACGTGGCCGATCTTACGTAACCGTTTAAAACGCCACGATCGCGTCGGTGCCGAGATGAGGTCATCAGAACTGTATTTACTGGACCAGCTTAAGTAAAAGCTCCCACCGCGAGGTCCTTCTGCTCTCCGCCACCCCCCCCCGGGGGCTACGCGGCACTGGGCCGACGAGGGCCACGCTCTTGACTGCCTTCCATCCACCGGGCCAGGTTGAGGCGGCAAATGTCAGCTGCCGGCCGCAGAGTGCAGCCCCCGCCGAAGACGCGGGGCTGTGCGGGGAGGATAAGCGCCACGCTGCTTTCAGAGAGCGGCTATTTTTAAAAGACGGCAGCAGGCCGGCCCTCGCCTGGACCCGGCCCAAAGTCCACACTCCCAGCCTGCTAGTTTAGCGATTAGCGATTAGCAGAGTACAAAGCTAGCCTGTCGCTTATACTAAATCACTATGCAATTCAATAGCATACAGAACTATTTCTAAATATTTCAAATATTCCAGTTGGTATTATTTAATACTTAATTTCTTTCCTTCCTTTTCCCCCATTCTGTATCTCTCTTTAATGATGTTTTATGTATCACAACACATTCATGTTAAGCTTTTGGAAGGATTCTATTGTGAAAGGCGCTATATAAAAATAAACTGAATTGAATTGAACAAACGCAATAAGAAATAACCTGAAAATGCACGCTGAAACCGAGCTTACTGCTAGCAATCTATATTCTGCTGGCTTATTTTTGGATTTGACACAATTATATAACTGATATTTTATTTACAATATACCACCAGAAGACACGTTACCCATGTCATTTTCAAAGATTTTCATGCGGCAGTTTGATTCAGAATTTTCTCCTAGAGACACAAAAGACCCATTTTGCCGGTTCTTCCTCCAGCATATTTCGAGAACGCAGGTGGGCTGATCTGAGCACCTGCCACCTAGACCGCGAGGCAACACCCGGAACCTGGAGCTGCGCCACGCTTGCCTAATGCCGCACTACCGTGTACGTCCAGCCGGGGGCGCACTCACCTGGACCACCTCCTCCTCGGCCTCGGCCACGGCCGCCTCCAGTGCAGCCACCTTCAGCGCCGCCGCCTTGCGCTTCTCCCGGTTGGCCTGCAGCGTGGAGAAGTAGTTCACGGCGGCGAACTCGATGAGCGCGGAGAAGACGAAGGCGAAGCAGACGGCGATGAACCAGTCCATGGCCGTGGCGTACGACACCTTGGGGAGCGAATGGCGAGCACTTATGCTCAGTGTGGTCATGGTAAGCACTGTGGTGATACCTGGAAGAACACAGAAGAGGCTTCAGTTCAGTGATACAGCCCTAATGTCAAGCTGACCCCTAAGGGGTCAGACTGACCCACAATCTAACTACAACGACCCACTGTAACTAACGACAACGACCCGCTGTAACTAACGACAACGACCCGCTGTAACTAATGACAACGACCCGCTGTAACTGCTCTTAGAGCCTGTGCAAACTTCAAATCCATAGCAATTTGAATGGGAACAAAATATTAACTGAGTTTAATAATGTAATAAAAATAATAATAATAAAATGACCAAAATAACTTGCAGCCTACAGAGTCACAACTCCTTACATTCAGTTAATATAACGCAGCCTTATAGTCAAATTGGGAATTAAGGCAAATTTAGCAACTGATGCTAAATTTTTGCTAAACTAGGTAACTACAAGATCACAAATGCAGCAGCAAACGCATAGTTAAAATTAATTCTGTTCAGCTCAAGCACAACCCTTTTTGTTTACGATCAGAAATGGGTCTGTGTCCAGGAGCCTTGGTGCCCAAGAGGTTCTTAAAGTTATAAACACTTGGAAGACACTGGTAGTAATTCTTCTAGTTCACTTTCCATGTTCACATCCCAGCTAACCCAAACCACATCGCCTTGGATCGGAAAACCAAGGTCTGCTTTGGAAGTCTTCAATTAGACTGAGTAAAAGAATACAACAATTTTAAGTAATTACGGTAATAAATACATGATGCTGTCATAGGTCTTGGACACACGTCTGCCCCAATCTGAGAACATTATACTGAATGTTAGGGAATTAAAATCAATGACATGGGAGCCAGAGATGGAGATGTACCTGCAACAGTTCGTGCAGGAACAGACTCTTTGTTGATCCAGAACACAATCTGTGACTGTGCAACAGTCATGATCAATGGGATGTAGGTCTGGATGAGATAATTACCTAGTTTCCTTTCCAGGAAAAAGTGGATGACCTGTACGGAATAGACACCTGGAATGGAGACGCGATGAACAACAATGATGGAGATGAAACACAGGTTTCACATGCGATTAAGATCCAAGCCCAGAAAAAGGGATTCCTGGAGAGTTGGGCCTACAGCCTTGTTCACAAGCTCTAGATCAAAATTTATCAAGAATGGAACAACAGAAGAATGAAGCATCCATTTAGACACTAGAGAGTCCACAAGCGCAAGCGAAACCAGATGTCTTCTAATTTTGAGTTTGTGTGGTTTGACCACCCACTTCCAAAGAAGCAAAGCCATGGATTAAAATATCAGCATAATGGACTCGATCGACCAGCCAAACATGAGATCAAGTCTGTATGAAAACCTCTCAATTAACTGGATGATCACAGACCTGGTGAAAGTTTTGTTTCAGAATATTGCTCTACCTTTTGTGTCTAGTGTCCCCTTCTTGAGATATAAACACGGTTAATTTACACAGGGAAAATGTGCCAGACATTTGTGGCTAAAGCTGCGCTTCACTGCATTTAGAGTCGATGCGAGTAGTTATTTTCCACGGAGGTAGCAAGCAGACAGGGTGGTAGCGTAGGTTAACGCCTAGGAAAATGGGATGCAGAAAGGAAATAAAGGGAGACTGGAGAAAGAGAGAGAAAGGCCCAAGTATGACACTGGGTCTGTTTGAGGGGATCAAAACATCTGAGTCCAGATGACCTCATACTGTGAGACAATGGCTGCAGGAGCCAGTGTCCTACACTAGGGGGAAGCCCTCTTTAACATCCATCACTGCGGTTATTTTACCAATTAGAAAGCTTACTAACGTGCACTAGATCCAAATGACCCCTGATTTGATGCTGTAAAACTGTCATAATCACTGGAAACAGACCACACTGCCTGATGTCGACATGGGCTGGTTAAGGACTGGAAGCCCCTGGCAAGCCGCCCCCTCAGAATATGCCGCCCCCTCCTGCTAAGTCGGCGCCCCCTCGGAACACGCTACCTAACGGGTTCACCAACATTGTTGACAACAGTTCCCCAAAGGACAGGGAATCTTTATTTGCAAAAAAAAAAAAAAAAAAACCATCAGGAACACAGTTAATTATTTGACTTTATTTTGTACACAAAACAAACGCAGCCCAGATAAGCGAATCGTTGGACGCGCCTCTCCGGGGGAGCAGAGCCTCCTGAGCTAACAGGGCGTGTCCGTCCGGCACGCCGGCCGCGGGGACAGACAGCGAGTCCAAGCGAAGGCGTGCCCAACGGAGCAAATCAGAGCTATTAATCGAGGGAGCGGCGCTGAACTCGGGAGTCCTCCGCTCACGGGGCGGCGATCGAGTCGCTGAAGCACGAGCTACGGGGCCCGCCAGTGACTGCCACATGCGGCTGTCTATCCTGAGATGCCCGCTTCGCCACAGAGATTCTTCACACTTCTATTTTTTCACCCTCAAGTGACGAGAAACCGAAGGCAATTCAGTGGGCAGCCATTGCCAATCCGCACTGGTTACCTAGTAACAAAGCAGGTGCTAAGAATAATACAACGTGGGAAAAACAACGTGTTTTGCGTATTATTTTGTATGGAACGTCTATAAAATCCAGCCTCTCAGGTTTACCCATCATATTCTGATGAAAGAAAACACATGAAAGCCTTTTTTTTGTTTGTTACACTGCATGCAAACACAGAGACATGATGGCTGATGGGACAGACTTGATTTCTGGCGACGTCAGGCCTACCGAACACGGTTCTGGCGGGAACCGATTCCTTATCGATCCAAAAAGAGACCTGAGACAGTATTACGGTCATTATGCACGGAATGTACATCTGAATCATGAAGAAGCCCATCCTCCTTTGCAGGTGGAAATAAACCGTCATGATTATGTATTCGCCTGTCAGGGAAAAGAACGGAAACATTGCGACGCAAGACAGCAATTCCTGCAACAGCGCGCGCTGCCGTAGGCCGCTAATACAGTACAGCGCAAATGTCAGATCAGACAACTGATCTAACGAAAATGCAACGTTTCTCAAAAGGAAATGCAATACAGAACAACAAAACAGAACAAGGAAAACTGCCGCTTTCCAACAAATTATGGTGATGTCATTTTCTATATTCTTATAGAAATCACGGGGTCACAGAGACCTCAGAGCCCATCACGGCTACTCCAGGGCCAAATCAAGGGACAAACGGCAAGTCACGGCACATTACCCAAAAATATCTTTTGGAACAAAGGCTCTTCCCCTTTGTATAAATGATTTAAGGTATGACTGAGAAATACATCCGATTATCTTCTAACCTCTTTTCTGGTCTGGTGTGTGGGGCGGGGGTCTATCCCTGGACTGATTGGACACAAGACTGGGGTAGTGGGCTAGACCTTGGACGGGATGCCAGTCCGTAGCGGGGCACACATACACATTCACGCCCCTAATCATACACTACGGGCAATTTAGAAATGTCGGTTAGACATTGTCCATCGTTTCTAATTATGGGGGGAAAGTCTACATCTCTTTGGAAAAACAAGCAAATTCTACACAACTGGGATTCAAACATGCAGCCTTGGGGTGAAAATGCTACCTGCTGCGCCCCACCATGTCTTAAATATACGAGTAAACTTAACCGAGTCATTTTGGAATAAATGTGTCTTACCTGTGTTGGACTTTAACCTTTCGCTAGACACCGTCTGACCTATCAGATCATACTGAAGCAAGCTTGAGGATTCCTCTGGTACCTCTACTGACAACAGAGGTCCTTTCTTCCACGTGTAAACAATCTCACTGATGGGATAGGCGTCTGTAGATTTAATAAGGAAAACCACAGTTTCATCACCAGTCACTCTCCCCCTTCTTAAAAAGGCACCCAGAGCTTCATCAGAGACACTTACAGCTGCCAAACTTGAGGGGACAGGCGTGTCCATCCATCGGAAAGTTCATAAGTCTCATCGGACATTCTGCATTAATAGTAAGCCTGCAATTAAACAATCCGCTATTTAACGCAGCATTAACTCCGCCTTCCATACATAACCACTAATCAAGCAGAGTCAGAGTGAGTCTGCAGTCTATCCCCTGATATGTACAAACACGCACACAAACACACACACACACACACACACACACACACACAAAGAGACACCAGTCTATCACATTGCAAACAAGTGAATCCCCAAATCACACATTAAAGGTGAATTACTGACACATATTCCCCTAACCACATGTTTTTAAGAAACCAAAGATCCCTGACGATACTGATACAGACAGCGAGAGGATATAGAAACTCCACAGACACAGCAGGAGATGGATTTATACACTTGACTCAGCAGGTGCTTGGTAACAGTTCTACCCACTGAACCAAAGCTTTGCCATATTATGCATATTATGTGAATAAAAAGAGAAAGATCTACTGTATGTAGGAAAATTGTATGTATGCGCGAAATTATACAAATTGATGACAAAAACACAGATTATAAAATGATTATAACATGAGATCAGGCTGGCCACAAACTGTTTGTGGTACTTAAACCTCACGCATGGTGAGGACACATTGTGTTCTGGAAGAGCTGGCTCTTTTGGTTGCGTGTACCTCATGGTGTAGAGCACAGTCCCATTCTGCATGATACGGAACAGCTTGTTGGGAGTGGTCATGTTGTGAGAGATGGATCGCTTCCCGTTCCGGAAGAAGGTGTCCGGTGTCCAGATCTTGCTGACCATGAGGTTGTTCAGGCGCAGGATCTCCGTGGGCCCGTCGAATTTAAGCCTCTCGTCGATCCACGTTTGCCGGAAGAAAACGTCCATGGTATATTCCTGCGTTTGTCCACATCCAAAACTCACATCACCAGGTCACCGATTTATTTTATTTTTTTTAATGATGAGCTCATACAAAAAGATATATCTATTCCAGACATGCTTCAATTTTTGTTCACGTTTACCATTTATTTGATAAAACAGGTTCTGGGGTATTCTACTGATTAATCTAACTATAAAATATAATCCAAAGAAACGAACAGCACAGCTTTTCAAATCAAAATCCAAGTGAAAACACAAGAACCACATGCAAGCCAGGATGTTTGAAAGCTGTGTAAGTTCTAGTTTGAAGCCATAGGAATCATATAACATGTTACATGATGGAGACAGTGGGTTTAAGGTGTTAAAATAGCACAGGGAGACACTAAAATTAACGGCTAATCTGAGACCTTCCCCGACAAGGACTCTCAAACAGATTAAAGTGCTTAATCGGTTAAGAACAACGTTCACAACATAACAATAATAAAAGGCGCTTGCTCATATATGTCGCAAACCAAGGACCAGTCACTAATTTACTTACTCTTTTATTAAAATCATTTATTTTTTTTAAAGACAGACACAACTACGATATATACAAAGGCATGCAATCGCTGGACCTACCATTTCTACATCTGAAACCGGACCAAAACTGGTGACAAAGATGTCTGTTTTGACCTCTGTGACAGGACCTGAAAACATCGTTTTGTAAAGTCATACAAATGACGTGGTTTTGTTTTCATAAACTTTGGACACAATTTATCAATACAGACGAAAGCGATCTATAGAAATTACATTTATAAGCACAATTCCACTTAGCCAATGAATTTTACTACTAAATATGCATTAAACAAGTGAGTTCATTGAACAACTATAGAGAAAAAAAAAGTAACTGAACAAAGTGCACAAAACAATAATAGTCGTTCGAGAAATTACTCACTGAAACAAGACATACGCTGTTAGATGTTGCGCAAGAAATCCCTACTGATTAATACATAACGGAGAATATTTCAGTATAAGATAAATAAAAGCTTATTGACACTTTTAAACACTTTAGCGGGATTACAGGAAATACCTCCAAATCCAGGTCGGAGCCTGTTATCGTAGCCGTCTAATAATCTGTCCAAAATCCGGGTTATATTATCCAAATAGACCCTGGCTTCTGTTTGTTGGTTTCCCCAAACGTCCCCGATGCTGCAAACAAACAGCGCTCCTTAGTTACAAACTCGCCGCGCACTTCGCCCGGCGTTTTATTACCGCGCTTCATGACATAACCATTAATCAGAAAAACGCGCCTCACATGCTTCGCTTTTTATTGCAAGCGAACGAAAACATCGACTCACCAAGACAGGAAGATGCAAGTGATGAAGAAAGCCATAGTTTTTGCATACTCTGCAATGAAAAGAGGTGCGTCAAATAAAATAACCTGCGCCGCCCATAATTTGATATTATCGATTCAATTCGCATCCGCGGTTTAATATACATCTAAATTGTTTTTACGCCTGCCCTCATCCACTTGACTCTTGCGGTAGGTCTTCATCTGAATAACTCTGTTTAGGGGAGAAACACCGAAGGAGTTTTAAGAGACGTAAGAACAGTAAGGGAGAGCATTGACAATAATCGAATAAGGCATTATGGGAGATTAGAAGGAAGAAATCCACTGATAGTTTTGGCAGAGAATTAGCCCGGACCCTTTAGGAGATTTGGAAGAGGCTCAGATATCCCGCTGCTGGAGATTACGCCAGAGATGCTTTCATTTTCCCTGTGAGAGAGCACTCCACAGATGTTAAATTCATAATAAAGTTTAAAGGCGGAATCGAGCTGAGTAGCCTTTTTCAACAAACGCATTTCATTTTGTTTATTCGTTTTTATTTACAAATGACTGAAACACCACCAATATCATACCAGGTAATAAAAACGCCATGCACAGGAAATATATAAGTCGCGTATGAATTGAGTTTGCAAACCCGACGTGTAGGCCTACACAATGTGAGAAATGTAGTTTCTTGTACTTAAATAATTACAGACTTATTTCGTGCTGTATGACATGATTAGGAATTGGATATGCACGACGGTCAAAAATCCATTGGTCACAGGTTTATTGTTTCATATGCTTGTTACAGAGTATAAGACGCCATTAAACGGAACAATGGGTAATATTAATGGAATACAACCTACTACAATATTGTACTTGAATCTCTCCCCTCAGGGCAATATGCATACGGAGTAACTTGAAACTCTGCATGCATGTTTTTTCTTCTTCTTTTCATTTAAAAATTACAAATGTCAGATCTCTACTCATTAATGACAGGTTGTATTACGTTACAATAGATGCTTCATGTTTTGCCCCTGTAATTATTAACTAATGTGGTGTCGCATGTAAGACGTCCGTCAAAGAGTTGTGATCTGAAGACACTTTACGTGCTAAGCTGGTCTCTTTTTGGGAGCTTCTATGCAAACTCTTCTTTAGTTATACCAAGAACCGTTTAAGCAAGAGAACTGAAATAATATAAATGAAAATAGCATTTCAGCATATGACAAATGTTAGTAGTCAAAAGACAATAAGCGGACATACAGTCGATACAATCGTATGTAGTATTAAATGGTTTTTGTTTGTAGGTGTTTTTTTTCTGAACCCTCTTAAAATTCCTTTACTACACCATATTATCATAGAAAATACAATGTGACTTTTAAAACAATAATTTCTGCGGCTGGGAAACTTGTTGACACTCTGGAAGCACTGATCTGTGTCAAAACAAATGGCTTTGGGTTGATGGAACAGGTCATGTGACGTGGCTAATCAGAACAGTACACAGAGCTATGTCCAACTAAACAGGCTTCAAGCCAACATCTGATATTATCCCCCAGAAGGCGAGGCACATCGATGCAGCCAGGAGCCAAATGTCGAGTGGGGGGGGGGGGGGCAATGTGAAATAGGAGGGGCAATGTTGCGTGGGAGAGGAAATGCTGAGTGGGAGGGGCAATGTGGGAGGGGTTTATAACAAGGCGCCTGTTATCTGATACCCTATCCCGACCCCTTGAGATAAACCCCTCCTACTTGACATTGCCCCTCCTACTCAACATTGCCCCTCCTACTCGACTTTGCCTCTCCCTTTGAACATTGCCCCTCCCACTCTATATTGCCCCTCCCACTCGACACTCGGCTCCCGGCTGCAGTGACAAATGCCCCAGAAGCAGAGCTCAAACCCTTTATGTCTTTATTTACGAGATGATTGGCTGACTCCAGGCGGGACAGTGAACTGAACCATGTGGGTAGGAAGGAGGAATGTGGACTTGGGGAGAGGCGCAGGAGTGGATTAATGAACGGGTTTACCCAGGCTGCTGCCCAGGGCCTACAGTGATGAGGGAGCCCCTGGACTCGTTAATCTGCCACTGGGGATGGGTGACACAACACAAAACCGTGCAGTTTCAGCACCGACTGCAAAGAAAACATGCAGGGAAAGGAATCAGGCTGTCGACAAAGCCATTATGGCCAGCGTGGAACAGAGTTCTACAATGCGTGTTCTGCAGTTTGACAGACCATCAATCATACACTGTATGTACTGAATATCAAAACATATTTTACATCATTCAGGCTTAACTCGCTGAGTAGCTGTGGGACCCATAACATACTCATGAGAAGAACAAACTTCTTTGATTAATCTTATGTCTCTTTGTGTTCCCTGAATGTTCTAATGTTGCATTTCTGGCTCTCGAATGGTCTTATTGGGTTCTTGATTTGTTAAAGAAGTTGTTGTGTAGCTCAGTGATTCTCAATCGTTTTCATCCAAGGACCCCCCCCCTCCCCCATCCAGAAAAACATGTTTGGGCCCCCCCGCACAGGCTACGATATCGTTTCTCTGATATACGTTCACTGATGATGACAAAATTTGCCGATGTTTATTTATACAAATATAGTTTAATTTGGTTACAATATCAAACAATATAATTCCTTTTGAACGTATTCAGCTGATCATCCTGTTCTCAAAACAGAAGACAAATGTTTATGAACAAAACAAATCTAAAACCTCTGGCAAATGACTCTAAAAACAGAAACCAGACAACCACTAAACATGCACTCAATATCTGAAAAGACCCTCATTGTAAGGTATTAATCGTCAACAAAATAAAACAAATATTGCAAATTATGATATTTTTAACAATGTTTTAAAAGGAAATGAACCAGGTAACAATGTTTCCTGGCCATCAGCTTTCCTGTGAGATGCCGCTAACTGAGTGGTTTCATTTTAGCTGTGAATTCTGGGATTCTGTGTGATTCCATGACTGAAACTCTCACATTATTTGCAAACTGGAAGGAATACTACTGGTTTCTATTATATTTGTTTAATAAAGCCCTAATTTTAATGCGCAATTACAATCTATCAATATAAATAGTATTGTGTCATCCTGAAATTCATTTGGGGAAATTATTTATACACCGCAAAAATCCGATATAGGCCCTAGCGTCAGTCAGAATGTCATCAATGTTGTCCTCGCTAACGCCCCCTAGTGGCCTGTGGTACCCCGGTTCAGAACCACTTGTGTAGCTCCTGCTCCACCAATAATGCTTGCAGCTGTACCTGGCCATTCATTGGAAGCTCAGCCTAGCCACACTTATGCCTTGTCGACTTCTTGATAGCATATAGGCTAAGATGAAGGCAATTCTAGCCCTTTTCAATATTTTCCTAATCTTACAAGAATATGTGCAGCACTAGCTAGGAAATAACTCATTGCTTCCATCTATGAACTGAATAAAGCAAATTCTATGCTGGGATAAATATAGTTTATGAACTAGAGCCTAAATAAAATGGGCAATCATGGGCTATATAAATTGCCCCAGTCCTTGTGATAACAAGGTCTGCTAAAGGCGTCTCTGTCCAGTGCAGAGTAGCAAAAACAGCCAGTGGCTAGAATTACCCTTACACTAAGTTTGCAATGTGCTGTTTGCCTCAATTGTACATTGCATCATCTAAATATGTTAAATGAAAATGTACAGTACTTAATGCTACATAGCCAAAGACTGCGCATATTTATATTATATTGCCAACTGTTAATTATGTAGAATATGAAATAGATTTCCTCTTTCATCTAGCAGGCTCTGTTGAGGTACAACTAGCAGACTTTCTACTGCACTAATCGTCACTATTTAAATGATTCCTGTTTCAAAGTTATAAATGACTTTTTCAAGGGTGAAATGAATGCCATGGAAGAAGTTTTTCCGCCCCAATCTCATTTTCAGCTTCTCTGCCCATTTTTCCCACACAGAATTCACTCAGCTATTTTGAGGATCTAGTAATATGTAGCAGATGTCAGGGGGGGGCGGGTAGGGGGGTGTCACCAAAGCTTGGTGCTTCTTTCATTTATTTGGTAATGAATCATGCTATTTTCAGGTGTGAAAACCGCACCTGACATGAGGACGATAAATGGATAATTAGGGTCATCTGCTTGAACACCTTGCTAATGCTGGGCCTGATTTGAGGCTCGGACAAAATCTGACTAATGATGACTCTCAGAGTTGCAGTTGCCTGGCTGTCAGTTGGTGTAATGCAGTGTCTCCCAATCCGTTCCTCGGGGACCCGCAGACATTCCATGTTTTTGCTGCTTCCCAGCTCCCAGCTCCCTGTACCAGGTATTCTGTGTTCCTGATTGGCTGGGAGCTGGGAGGGAGCAAAAACGTGGACTGTCTGGTGGCCCCTGAGGACCGACTTCAGAAGGGAGCAAGGAACCTAATGCAGGAAATGCGGTGCACAGGCAGTGAAACACCCTAGCCTGAATACCAGTCCATTGCAAGGGACACTAACGACAATTTACATTCAGCTGATTCTGGGGGACCCTCAGACTGTCCACATTTTTGCTCCCTTCCAGCGCACCTATACCAGGTATTCGGTGTTCTTGATTGGTTTGTTCTTGATTGTCTGGGGGTCCCTGAGGACTGGGTTGTGAAACACTGGTCTAATGTATATCAATATGTTATTTTCATTTATGGGGAAGACCATGGACAGAGTTTGGGGGGGGGGGAATGCCCCTGCCCCAGAGATTTCTGGGTTGGAAGGTATGCTGAAGGTACTTCTTTTGGTTAGTTGTTGGAATGCAGCTGTTTACCGCCAAGGTTCAGCGAATCGATAGTATTGTGAGGTTACAATCATGTTCTTATTTTGCCACTTTGCACTGTTGCATAAGCAGTTTGTTGGTACCTTATAGGTAGACAAAATAGTAGGTTATATGTGCATCAGATACATGCGCTAATACAGGGTTAGCAAGATGCGGTTTTTGCTCCCCTAAGCGTAAACGTCAAACTACGCCTATGGGGAAGACTCACCAGTTTTAGCCAGTTCTGTTTACGTTCTCTAGCAACTTCTGTTTACCTGGTGAATAAAGCCTCTTCTTTAATAAACAAACGAACAAACCAACAAACAAACAAACTTTCAGGGTTACAAGCTTATATATTTGCGCAAACAACTGGTTCATTAAGACGTGTCTGAGAATGCGTCTGGCAGAAAAGGCTTCGTCTGCTGGCTCTCATCCTTCCTCTGTTTCAGTCTGAGCTCTTAGACGAGCCACTAAGGAAAAGCTCTAATCACGCGGCGCATTTCATGTAAGCTGTCCCTCCCCAGTGATTTTCTTTGACATTTCCAAACTTCCATTTCCTTCGCCCATCTCCAAAGGAGACCCTTGCGTAACAAGGAGGTGAAATAATATAAATGACATGGT